TTATTAGTCAAATACTCCTGCCTTTGGCCAGTGAACTTTGTATCCATTACATCATGATGTAATTATTTTCCTCCTGATTTAAATTTTCATTGCTGCATACCTACATGTGAATCAGCTAGGTTTTAATAAAAAGTGACTTGGTATCAGCCTTTTTAAAACCCTATATAGTGGAACAAAGGAAGGAAGGAAGGAAGGATGGAAGGAAGGAAGTTGAAAATTGAGCAGATGGATGAACTCATCATGCTGGATGTTGATATGTTTTTCGGTGCAGTTTTGTAGCGTGACTATGTGCGATTTTGGCACATTTTTCATGTTGATGAATATTTCTGTAGGAGAAGACTGGATTTTATACACAAAACTCTGCCAAAAATGCACTGAAAATGCATATACATGCAGTTTACTTGTGCTTTCTACTCGCTCTTATTGAAGTTTATGGGGCAAAAAAATGTGCTAAACTGCACCAGAAGCACCTGTACCTGAAACACCTACACCTTTGAAAAAAACACGCTGCAGCCACACTGCGTTGATGTGAATGGGCACCATAGAGAATAATGCAAATTCCATTGTCGTGCAGTGCAAATGCACTAGTATGAATGGGGGCAAAGGCAAGCCATAGACAAGGTGATTTTCTTTCCTGCAACCACAGGTGGAAGGAAAGAAAATTCCCTCAATTTCCCCATCAACACAGTCAGTGTTGATGGGGGAATCCCTCAGGCAGAGCCAGTGTGTTCTCCTGGGGGAGGAAGTGGGGTTGCGGGAAGCCGTCTCTGCCGGGAGAATACTATGATTACTGCTAGTGGCTATAGCCGCTGACAATAATTGCATGCTAAAAATCTGACATGTTGGTTGTACCCAAATCAATCAATGGATCAACTTGGGTACAATCAGCCTGCCAATAGATGGATCTAATCTCAGCTGCTCCCTGCTGAACCGGCTGAGATTCAAATCATCTATGGCCGGTTTTATTGTCCAGTCAGCAGGCAGGGAGAGAAGAGAGGACACCACTGCTGCCTGGTAGGGCTATATACATCTCAGAACTGGATAAAGAGAAATGAATTCCTTTGACAGATAAAACAGCTCCACTTCTATGTATTTTATTTGTGTTTTAGCTATTTGAGAGGAGTTCTTCTTTGATATGGATGTACTTGAAGTGTATGTCTGGGCAAAATGGAACAAAAAACATATCTACAATACATGTACAGTACAGTACAAATGTTTTATCTCTTTGAAACACTGCAAGTACAGACAAATATTAGTTGGACTGCTGGACATCCACTGAGAACCTAGTAATGAGTTTCCAGCACTGTCTTTTGTGCACTGAAATCCCAAGCAGTGCGGTAATTGCAGTGTTTTTAAACAGCCAAATCACAGGGAAGTGTGCATTATTGCAGTGATGTACAGTAATTAGCATATATTTTTAATTTTGCCTACACAAACTTTAAGTAACAAGGACTGCTGTAAATGCTTTAATCTCATAGTAACTTTAAATTCGAGTAAGATAAAAAAAATATAAATATGTTTGTCTGCTAATGGAATTTTCAATACAATAAAAATCTTCCAAAATTATCTTGCATTTTGAACCATTTTAAATTTTACAATATAGTATAAGGTCAAACACTCTCTTCCTTTCCTTGAAGCTTTAGAGAGAGTGAAAATGTATTATGATACCCTTTTAACACCTCAAAGCTCTTTGTATTTGAAAAGAATTCCAAACCGCACAGTCCAAATAAATGTGAGATAGGGAAGAGCACAAAGGAAAGAAAGAAGCCTTTAAAAATCTCATTGAAAATGATGGATTATGAAAGTAGTGTTAACCTGAGAGTTCCTGATCCCATCTGATCTTAGAAGATAACCAAGGTTAAGTCTGAATAATATTGTGGTAGGGAAGAACACTTGTTAATACCAGGTGCAGATGGCTAGTGATTCTCACATTCATTTGTCATTGCACAGAAAGAAGAAAGACACGACACAATAAAACTGAGCACCTTTGATGGGCAAGCCATACTGGACCACCTACATACAGGGACCCCAAAAATATAATTCTAGAAAAAAGAACAACTATTTTACTTTATATTGGAAAGAAGACAGACATGACACAATAAAAATGAGCACCTGTGGTCCATAGTGGACCACCTATGTACAGGGTCCCTAAAAATATAATTCTAGAAATAGGAACAACTATTTGACTTTATACTAGTTTACCACAGAGAGCTTTACAAATTCTTAACAAAATCTGCAATAATCTTTTTAATGGATAGCTGGATTGACAGCTATTCTAACCCACCTTCCCTAGCCCTCCTGAGCTAAACTTTGTCCCAGCGGCTAACTTACCTCAATAGGAGAACCAGAGCCTGCACATTGTTTTTGTTGCTGGCGAAAACCCACTCCTGCATAGTTGGCCCCCATTAGACTTGTAAAGGGCCATCTTCGGAACATCTCCTGTCTTCAGTTTCTAACTGAAACCTCTGATAGAGCTTGGTAGGAGCATGGACTGAGGGGTTGAGTCTCTTTTCTGACTATTCACTTGTGATTGTATATTACTACTTGAACTACTGAGCTATCCAAACAACAGGCTTTTTAAAATATTAGGGCAAAATAGTCCTTTTTTAAAAGGCAGTTTTTAGCCTTTACTTAGTCTTAGTACCAGTCTGCCCATTCTCTTCTGACATCAACAAGGCATTTTTGTCCACACAACTGCCACTCACTGAATGTTTTCTCTTTTTTGGACCATTCTCTGTAAACCCTAGAGGTGGTTGTGCCGGAAAATCCCAGTAGGTCAACAGTTTTTGAAAGTCTTGCAGTTTTTGAAGTCTGGCACCAACAACCATGCCATGTTTAATGTCCCTTAAATCCCCTTTGTTCCCCAATCTGATGATCGGTTTGAACTTCAGCAAGTCATCTTCATCACATCTAGATGCCTAAATGCATTGAGTTGCTGCCATGTGATTGGCTGATTAGCAATTAGCGTTACCAAGAAATTGAACAGGTGACCTAATAAAGTGGCTGTGAGTGTATATATACACTATATTGCCAAAAGTATTGGGACGCCTGCCTTTACACGCACATTAACTTTAATGGCATCCCAGTCTTAGTGTGCAGGGTTCAATATTGAGTTGGCCCACCCTTTGCAGCTATAACAGCTTCAACTCTTCTGGGAAGGCTGTCCACAAGGTTTAGGAGTGTGTCTATGGGAATGTTTGACCATTCTTCCAGAAGCGCATTTGTGAGGTCAGGCACTGATGTCGGACGAGAAGGCCTGGCTCGCAGCCTCTGCTCTAATTCATCCCAAAAGGTGTTCTATCAGGTCGAGGTCAGTACTCTCTCAGGGTACTAAGACTGGGATTCTATATATATGGGATGCTCAAGTCAAACTGGGACTTTTGAGTTTATACTGTATAATAAAAGAACAAATTTCAAGGAGTGGAAACTGCATTTATTTTTCGACATACACCTCTGCTACATTTATATCCTTATAACTAATGCCTGAAATGCTTTGGCATAGAAAGATTTGTCAGTACACCTGAACCATCTTAACGCAGCCTGCTTCACTTCATCATCTCTGTGTTCACCATTCCCATAGAGAGATTTGTCAATTTCATAGCAGGTTATGCGTTGATTATCCAGGATCAGGCGTTCCATGCACTGACTGTTCTGAGGAATGTCTGCTATGGACTATGAACCATCATGGCAGGGATCTTCACTGATGGATGTACAGCCATCTTTGACAAGTTTACACCATTCAAATGTCTTACTGCGGCTGAGCACCATACTGTGCTTGAAGTCTTCTGTAGATATCTGTGGGTTTTACACCTTTGTTCACAAGAAATTTCATCATCACATGCTGTTCCATGCATGCAAGAACACTGTTGTTTGCCATCTTAATCAATGGTCTCTGGACTGGCCCGCTACATGTGCACAGCCTACCAGTAATAGGACACACTTGCCACTTACTACTGCATGCAGTACTGCAACACTAGTATCCCTTTTTATACCTGTAAAATTCCCGGTTTGACGTGAACATTATAAGGGTTCCATTAATAGAGCAGTTACAACGCTAGCTGAATTTCATTACATACTTGTCAATTCTCCTTCAAAATCTTGCCCAGGTCTGCTTACCTGCAGCGGCAATTGCATAAGAGATCTGCTATCCAAGCACATTTTGAAATTTCTTTAATGGGAAGCATAATAAAAGATGAATGGATGCCTCTTTTGCAGTAAGAAAAATGTGACTCACAGGCAGGCAGTAAATAAATCAGACAACTATGGAGGGAAATGTAACTGATGGAGTGCCAAAGAGATGAGTGGCATTTACAATGGGTCCCACTCTTGTTAAATTTGAAATGCATTTTACATTGTGGACAAAGCACACTGGAATAGCAGGAGCAGTGAAAGCTGCAGCAGGGGCAGTGCAAGAGTGTGAAGAACTCTAGTGTAGCAAGAACAATCCAGGAATAGGAACACCTCTGGTGTAGCAGGATTGGTCCAGGACTGAGAACACCACTGATGTAAAAGGAGTCCTCCAGGGTGGTGGTAAAAGAGTGGGAACCTATGGGATGGGAAGCTCTTGCTGCTGAATCCCTAAGGTATGCAAGAAGCCAGTGGAAGGAATTAAGTCCTTTTGCAAAGTGCTGTGCAAATTGTTAGTGCCTTTAAAATCTTATATAATATTAATAATTCACCATGTGCCACTAATAACTGAAATAACTTTTGGGTGGTTGAAGCCTCAACACTTGTGAAAAGCTAGGTGCACTGGTAAATTCATACAGCATGTTAATGGTTGTACATTTTAAAAACCTAATCAACTTGAATAAATGCATATTACCAGAGCAAACGCACATCATGTTCTTTTTATAGGCTTTAGCTCAGAGCAACTAGTGAAAACAGCAACCATAACATCAATTTCTCATCAAATATCCATCATCAGGTATAATGTTAGCAGATAGCTTTTATGTTTACACATTGTTGTGATGTACTGTATATAGCTAAAGTGTTACTAAACCCAGGACCCTGCATTCACTTTATCCAGTCTTCCACAGTACACAGAACATGGAAATTGAATTATTTTAGTAAATATATAAACTGTCAAATACCTTTTCTCACCAGCAGTATATAGCAGTCTTGTGACTTCTATCAGTATCCAGCGGAGTGCTGGTTAATCTTGTAGGAGGATTTTTCATTCTCCTCTGACTGTCCCATGAGGCTGCATAACCCCCAACCCTCTGTCTAGACAGCGCTGATTGGCCCTGTGCTGATCACATGAAAAAAAAAACACTCTCCAGCAATACACGCCAAACAGAGCATGTGCAGACTTGCCACTACTGCTCTAACTATGGCAGATTGGGGACAGAAAAATAAGGGGAGGATCAGAGAAGACAGGATTAAACAGTCTTTTTATGCAATGCAGATGATTAACCCCTTAAGTTTCACAGTGAGTATAACAAGCATATTTTACTGCATGTACAGACTGATTTCCCTGTTGTGAGTTTAATAACACTTTAAGGGATCCCCGGATTTAATATCCATAAGCACTCCATTCCTCACTTGTATAACTAGCATCACATGCTCACTTATTAGGTTTGCAAGGCATTCCAAATAATATAATCCTTTATTTGTTGGCACACACACTGTTTCCTCTTCCCATTCTTCTCTTTTTAGTTTTAGCTCTGTTTCACAACTGTCCTTTATGATTATTATGGCTCTCATGAAGAACTAAACCAGTTGTCAAGGAGTTGACAAATATTGATTTCTGAAATTAAACGCATTCCCTTGTTCTGAATGGTGCATGAAAATAGTATTCATTCATACATATTTTAAACAAGTTTATAGTTAGGATGTCATAAGAAAAACATGGGGACTGCCACTAGTAATCTTCTCCTGAAAGTGTATTTTTAAGGCTGTATCAGTGTTCAGTAGTTTCTGATTTAATGACCTGGAACAACTATGCATATCAGATTCAAGGCAGTAGTTCTTATCTACATTCCTGTCATTTACTCTGAAGCTACTAAAGTAAGAGGGTAAGTATGCCAGCCAGGCAATTAGAAGACAGGTTAGCCATTGCAGCCTCCATGTTTGTATTGTGACAGGTTCCTTTTAAACTGTATCTTAAGCCAAAGACTTTTTTTTATTCTTTGTTAATTTTGGATAAAGTGGGGAAAAGTTGGGACCCCTGTCATCTTTCTATTCCTAGAAGAAATATGGTACTTATGAGAACAGGCTATAGTCTGTATTAGGTAAAATCAGGAAGCTGTTTGCTTGACAACTCTGCAATATCACAGCATCTCATGTGTATAAATATATAAAAAAACCCCCAAAGACCTGGACTGATTATTTTGTTTGCCTAAAAAGTATGAACACCCAAAATAGAAAAAATATCAACTGCAATGTATCCACCCAGCTGCTGTTACAGACGCGCATCCCCCTGTGCATTATAGACCAACGTTTACTAAAAAAGTAAAGAGCCCTTAGATTCTTTGTTATTTAAGTGCTACCTAAATTGCATCAGTAAAGTGCTGCAACAAAAAGTGCAGATCACAAATAAAATTATAAAGAGCTCCAGTTAATATTAATGTGTAAAACGTACAAAGGCAAGTATTATACTGTTCCTGAAGACATCTGGTGTTTATGAAGAAATGCGTAGGGTCAGGACTACCAGTCTGATGTCAAATTCACTGTTTGGAGCACACACTGGCTCCAGGAAATAAGTGGAGCAGCTGCATTGTGCTGTGCAATTCGGCTGCCTGGTTTCACTGAGTGCCAAGACAAGTATATTGAATTGTAAGTGCATTTCTGTATTTTTATGGCTTTACTTAAATAAAGAGGCATACAGTGATGGGATCCCTTGTCTGTGTTTCCTACATTCTTTAAATGTACCAAGGTGTACTGCAGTCTCAATCTGGGTTCATTACTCTGTGACTGAGAAGTTCCTGTGACTGTTGCAAGAAGATTATTCTGCTATAAAGCAGATGTTGACATACTTATTTAACAATAGGAGGTTTTAATAATTCTGGAGAGTGAACACTTTGAAGGGAGATGGAGGAGCACGTGTGTAACGTAGAAAACCTGGCACACTGGTTTTAGTCACCAGAATTGACTAATTGTGTGGCACTTTGAATTTGGACACTTACACTGTATTGCCAAAAAGTATTGGGATGCCTGCCTTTACAAGCACATGAACTTTAATGGCATCCCAGTCTTAGTCCGTAGGGTTCAATATTGAGTTAGACCACCCTTTGCAGCTATAACAGCTTCATCTCTTCTGACAAGCCTGTCCACAAGGTTTAGGAGTGTGTCTATGGGAATGTTTGACCGACCATTCTTTCAGAAAAGCATTTGTGAGGTCAGGGACTGATGTTGGACGAGAAGGCCTGGCTCGCAGTCTCCGCTCTAATTCATCCCAAAGGTGTTCTATCGGGTTGAGGTCAAGACTCTATCAGGGTACTAAGACTGGGCTGCTATATATGGGGTGTTCAAGTCAAACTGGGACTCTTGAGTTTATACTGTATAATAAAAGAACAAATTTCAAGGAGTAGAAACTGCATTTATTTTTCGACATACACCTGTGCAGGCCAGTCCAGTTCCTCCACCTCAAACTCGCTCATCCATGTCTTTATGGACCAGTCATGTTGGAACAGGAAGGGGCCATCCCCAAACTGTTCCCACAAAGTTGGGAGCATGACATTGTCCAAAATATCTTGGTATGCTGATGCCTTAGAAGTTCCCTTCACTGGAACTAAGGGCCAAGCCCAACCCCTGAAAAACAACCCCATGCCATAATCCCCCCTCCACCAAACTTTACACTTGGCACAATGCAATCAGGCAAGTACGGTTCTCCTGGTAACCACCAAACCCAGACACGTCCATCGGATTGCCAGACAGAGAAGCGTGATTAATCACTCTAGAGAACACGTCTCCATTGCTCTAGAGTCCATTGGTGGCGTGCTTTACACCACTGCATCAAATGCTTTGCATTGTGCTCAGTGATGTAAGGCTTGGACAGGGGTGGATTGACAACTCATGGGCCCCCCGGGCAATAGGGGATCATGGGGCCCCTGTGTCCTTGCCCAAACTCAAAAAAGCCTATGAAAAAGGTACCAGGGGCATCTCATGGGGCCCCCTACTGACCCCGGGCCCTCGGGCAGTGCCCAAGTTTCCAAATGGTCAGTCCACCCCTGGGCTTGGATAAAGCTGCTCGGCCATGGAAACCCATTCCATGAAGCTCTCTATGCACTGTTGTTGTGCTAATTTGAAGGCCACAAAAAGTTTGGAGGTCTTTAGCTATTGACCCTGCAGACTGTTGGCAACTTCTGCGTACTGTGCACTTTAGCATGCACTGACCCCGCTCTGTCATTTTACGTGGCCTGCCACTTTGTGGCTGAGGTGCTGTTGTTCCCAGTTGCTTCCACTTTGTTATAATACCGCTAACAGCTGACCATGGGATATTTAGTAGCAAGAAAAGTTTACGGATGGACTTCGCATTTTAGTAAATTTTAATCCCATGTGTATACACACAGCAAAACAAAAGGAATGTGAACACTTCACTCTATCACAAGGGGCAGTTCTTGTATCCAAAGGAATATACCCTTGGAAATTTTTACATAGTTGGAATGTTTATTAAAAGTTCCAAGAGGGCCAACGCATTTTGGGGATATATGTCTTCTTCATCAGGGCTAATGATAAACAATATTAGCAAGAAGTAATAAAATATGAATATAAAATAAATATAGAATTCTGTAAATAATGCAGAAAAAAAATAGTTTTCCAGATTTTAGATTAAATTGCACAAATGATATCCTAAGAAAACAATAGTGCTTTCAAAAATGCCAAAAATGTAATGTTTATTACTATAATATCAACAAAAAACATTGGCATATATTAAAACATGATCCATTTTAAGACCAAACATACCAGATGAGCCATCAGTAGTCTATCATAAAGCAAAAACCACCTAAAGCATTACTGCCCTTTGTAAATTAAAGACCGCATGGCATAAAACATTATTATTGTATATAGTAAAAGGAGTTTCCAAATGTAAGAACTTATAAAGCATTTTCTGCTCAAACATTGCAAATGGAGTGACACATTTTACTTTTACCAAACATAACACACCTCATGGCCCATCATTTCCTATCTGGAATGTGGGACCTTCTTATATAGTCCACCATATAGGTTGTCCTTGTGGTTTACAATATGACTGATGCGCTGATGGAATGGGATGGAGTGAGATGCTTCACTTCAGGTTTTCACTGCTGTCTGTATCCCCCAGTGGGGAAGGGGAGATTCATTCCCTTCTTTTTGTCCTGTTAACAACAGCATGGGGACATAAAATAACAGGGGATCCAGAACTTTCCATTTTCATCATAACATGGACCCCTTTTTCACTGACAACCATGAAGTGATGTTTCCTCATTTTGGAGAGATTTAGGCTCCGTTTAAACTAGTGAGATTTCAGAACTGCACAATCAAAATCTCATTGTTTTCAATGGTACCTATTCACATCAATGCAACAGAGTATGGCACAATTTTGGAAAAGGTTCCTGCACTACTTTGGTTCGATTCCAGCATGATTTTGCCTCACAGAATATGCGACTTATTTCAAAGTATCATGCAAGTTGCATCCATCCAAGTTGCACTACATAATCGCACTGAAAGTTGAATCAAAATCTTCCAAATGGACATAGGTAGCAAGAAAATTTTTTTTGTAAAAGTTTCTAGCCATTTCCACCTCTGTCCAAATCTACAGTAAAAGTATTGTTTAGGCTACAGATACAATCTGAGTAAAAAAGGCCACGAACCCAGCATGACCAAACAAACACTGTGCCATTGCAAATGTTATTGTAACATGTAGAATTTTGGACAATCTTCTTGGTTACCAATTTGATCTTTAACTTAACATAAAAATGTGCATGACTGGTCCTGGCAGCTTATCCTAGGCATGTGAGTTATTAAAAAGTTTGTTTTGGTAAATCGTTTGCTCGCTCGTTTATGAATACCAAATCTCCAAGGGGTTTGTTTATTTGATTGTTCTACATAAAAATG